GAGGTGGGTGCACAACCACACGGGATTCGCCTTTTCACTTTAGCTCGCTTCCAAACGGATGTTTTTTATCTACCAAGGGGATACTTGGTCTAAGACCGGAAGTCATGAGCTGCTTGAACCATTTGCAAAAGAATCGTTTCTAGCCACTTCCAGGTGAATGACATTCGAAAAGTTTCCACACTTGCGTGAACTTCTACACATGGCCCCATCCACAAAATGCAAATTATATTATATATATTATATATATATATTATATATATATTGTATATAAATATATATATTAATAGCTTCAACTAGATATATTTTCACAAATGTCTGACTTTCAGTTAAGACCAAAAATTTTTGGTTTGACAATACGGTACTTTTGAAATCTCGAAACGGTTTGCTTTATCTTTATTTTTCATTAAGATCCTCTCACATGTTGCTTGTGAATATCAAATAAATTAATTGATACCGAGTTGACCACTATTTATGAGGCTTTAGCTTGTCACTGCTGTGCTTCGCAATTAATTCCGTGGTGAGTAATCCAATCAATTTCCAATTACGCCCACAAAATCATAAATTAACTTCGCAGCAATTCAATTAAATTGCGAGTTTTATTTGCATTGATTAAAATTGAAATATCTGAGTATATATGTATTTACAGATATGCTGGTGAAGCGCTACATATTTATATCCATGTATGTACGTGGAGGTATGCTCTAGTCAGACTAGATTCATTATACATACATATATATAGACTTAACGATTCTTGTAAGTGGCAACGCATTTTAAAGCGACTTTCATTGAACAATTTCATAAATCAACGTTTAAGTCACACAGCCTCTTCTTTATACAGAAACAAATGTATATCTATATATATATATGTATGTATATGTTTCTGTTTCCATCGTGCCACAGTTGCGAGCATCTGTCACAGATATATTTGAGCACATATACATGCATACATATATATAGCGTGGTAATAATCAATGAATGTCATCATTAATTTGGCATTGTAAATTAATACGCGTTTTTTAATCAAAAAAGTAAGAAAAAAAATATAAAAAAATAAAATATTCCACGTATTAAAAAAATAAAAACTCCCTATATTTAATTTTCTTAAAGTATTGTCTTCAACAGATCATCGCTGCCAGTGACCTTCGCCACTTATGAAACGAAATAATAAAATTTTGACATATCGGAAATACTTCACAGGCGCATCACAATGCAATATATATTTAAGTCAAATCGTGTGAATCATTTATTTATTGCTTACAGATGCTTTTTTTTTTGAATAAAAATCCCTAATAAGGTGAGCACAGAACTGTCAATCACATTTCTTGTGGTAAGTAAAAACCGAAGTCAATAACTTGGCGATGAAGTTCGTTGCTTAAGTCTTTCGTTTGATTGCACTTAACAGCAAGAGAAACAATATAACGAGGCAGTGTGTGGAGTATTACTAAATTGTGTAAAATAAAAAAAAGATTATTTGTTGTTTGGTGGTGAAAATCATCTTGAAACCATTATTAAATCATACTCGCACAGGCGCATCGAATATTAATTGTGTTCTGCCAAATAATTTTGACTCGATTAAGCATGTACATGTAGAGTAAATGCGGGTAATGTGGTACACTAGCTTTTCTCGGAAACTATAATAAAAATGTGAAAATAACGGGACCTTCAGCAATAGGTCGATTATCTCAGATTTTTAATGAAGTGAGATTTATGGCGTGTAGCGCCGTCTTGTAGGAATCAAAGGTCGTCTGTTGAAAAAATGTGGACCAATGATTCTTCTGTCCATAGAAAGGGCATCTCAACAAAGATTATCAGCACTCCAAATGAGACAATTTTGTTAATTAAGGGGATGCTCTCCTGATTTGGATCAAAAAATCGATTTTTTTTACGCAGAAAATGAAAGTCATTTTATTTTTAAAATATGTGTCTAAAGGGATTTCGCAATACGATTAATATTTTGAAATAACAGCTTCTCGAACGCAACCGTCTTACACACGCTGCGAACTTTCAAAAAATTTTGAGCACATTTTTCTCAAAACCATGTTTTCTGATTTAACTTCAAGCCCCGGGCTTGATCTATCCGTAAAAAAAATACAAACTCTGCCTGATCTTTGTCCAGTATCAGGGTAGGGTGCCCTTAGCGTGCCCATTCAACTAAGAGTGAGCCTCTGCACCGCAGAAATTATTCTGTGAGAATGGAAAATCGGGATCGGAGACCATCTCAATAATGCGGTCATGCATGCCTGTCGTGAAAGGCGACTAAAATTCAATAATTCCCCGACAGTTAAGTCTTAATACCGGCATGACCAGGATTTGAAGCCGGCCAAGGGCAGTCACTCTCACATAAGTAATTTTGGAAAATGCTCTAGCGGCCACAAACACAAAAGCTGGAAATCGCACGCAATATAACCAAGAAGATCTGCCACTTTTGGCTTATTTTTCACATATTAGTTTGCTGTCTAAAGAATTTTTAAATTTTTAACACAAGATCTCATTGGGAGTAGAAACCTTCATTAAATCTCGCAATATTTATGCATTTTAATATTATTTGAGTCAAATATCTTCAAATATATATACAAATATTTGAGTAACATTATGCAACATATTTGCCCTTGAATTTACAGGCGCATTGAAATTGAAATTGAAATTTAAATATTTCAAGTCGAAAACAAACATTACACTCAGAAAAAAAAAAAAACGAAACAAAAAATACACTCAAGTAGTAAACAAATATTTGTTAAAAAGAAAAGCGAGTATGTGTTACAAATTTAAATTAACGACATGCCATCGGCGCTACGCTTCATCGACATGCCGTCAATACAATATGTGTGTACGTCGCTGCTTCATATGCTCCATCGTTTGAAGACAAATAAATACACCGCTTGCAGAGCATCCTAATGGGTATCTGAGTGCTTGTGTATGCGTAAGAGCAACCAAATGCCACAGAGATGCGCAAAATTACCGAAACGGGCGAGTTAACAACACAAGAAGCCATCAAAATCAAATTAACGGCAATATTGAAAAACGAAAAATTTGATTTGAAGTGCTAAATCATTTCAACTGTAACTCTAACCACCGAGGTTTGTCATTGTGATGACTTGCGATTTGCGGAATTTTATAAAGAAGCCAACGCAAAAAAGTTAAAGCCAAAATGGTATAGCCTTAAGAATTGAAAATCAAAAAAAAAGATAAAAAACACGAAAGGCATCTTCTTTTTATGTTTCAAAATATCTGAACAGACTTTCAGTGGCTACTTTGCGAAGGTGTTGATCCCTAAGAGCATAACCTAAATGTAGTTAAGAGGTTTTTTCTTAGTTAATCAGGCCAATCTAAATGAGCTTCAAACTATGCCACGTGGATCGCAGACTTCAGATTATGTATCGTTTTTGATGCTAACCATATTTTTAATGATTAGGCAAGGTTATTGAAGGAGCTAGATGCTTCGCAGGTATGTCGGTAAAACTGAAAAGGCACAAAAAGTTAAAAAAAGGAGCCTGAAACTGTAGTCAAGACATTCAATACTGAAAGGAGAAAACTACTTTTGAAAGTGAGTTGCATTTTCCACCTTTCTCAAAAGATGTGATGAGCAGCCCTAACGGAGTCTAAAATTATAGTATTAAGAGAGTGAGGACTGAAGTATTTTTTGAGTTGTTGTTTTTTTTTGGTTTCGAGAGGCGCGTATATAAACCCTTTCTTCTTTGTTTGGTACTTAAAAAAGTTATTCTAAAAAAATTCTCTCTTTAAAGAGATTTGCACTGAGACCCGACTCATAATTTTACAAAAGCAACAAATATAATAAATGTAGAATATTCGCTATGCAATTCTCTTCTGGTTTTGGCGTAATTTAGAGCCAATAAAAATATCCAGTGAATGCCAAACTGCATATGGAACAATTATACCGTCTTCAGCGATTATTTCTAAGTGGTTCCGAAGATTACAAACCAACATTTTTCCCTAAAGGACGAGCCCCGAGAATGTCAACAAACTGCCCCTGATGGCGTCACTGTAGCTCTGGCGAAGTCCCAAGAAGAGTTGGGCTTGAATGTCATGGCTGTATCGTGAATATTAAGTAATCATCTGGGATACAAGAAGAAAACTGTTCGATGGGTACCATCAATTTTAAATGACATAAACTCGAAAATGGTCAGTCTAGCAACTTTAGCAAAGTTGTCACAGGCGACGAATCTCAGCAGTCCATGGTGTGGAGCCCAACAAGAGCAAACCTACCCTTAAAATCTAAGCAACAAAAATCAGTAGCAAAAGTAGTGATGTCAGTTTACTTCACCCAATCTAAAGCCATAGCTGCTAGTCCACTGGAAACGGGTCAGACGGTAACTGCGAAACGATAGACCGAAGAGTGCTTACCAAAAGTTTTCAAAAATTTGTTGGAAAACAGGAAGAAAGAGGATATGCGGCGCTACTTTTTACATCATGACAATGGCGTGTTGCCCATGCTGAAAATACGAGTAATTTTAACGCGATCTCTCGCGAAGAACAGAAAAAACATTTCACCATTGATATCCAGCGTATATTGAATTTATGGAAGCCACTTTCTTCAGTCGGCTGAATGGCAGTGAAAATCAAACTCCAGGGGATGGCGAACCTGATTGCCCAAACGATGGGCGCGGGTTCCGATGAATTCAAATACAAGCATAAAGAGCTGTCAAGGTGCACAATTGGAGTCTGATTTGACAAGCTAGTGTGCTGATCACGAATCCAACATCAGCCTAGAATAAGAACTCAAGTTACGCAACTGGCGTTTTCCAACCACCCAAGCGGTTTTCGGCCGACCTCGTCGTCCAATGGAGTCCAATTCGTGCCTTTCGTTCCATTTGTTTTTCAATCAAATGGACGGACCTACAGTTGATACCCCAAAAGGCGTCACACAATTACTGCCGGGTAAACTAAACTTTCTTTCATTCAGCAGCAGTGAACATGGAAAATTGACTTACTTAATTTAAAGAAAGATAAACATAAAAACATTTACGAAAAAATCATTGTCGAAGTTCGACACTTCAAAAAGGAAAATAAACAATTAATTCACATGAAGTGTTGTTTCGATTTCGATTAGAAGTTGGAAAATTTTTATAAAAAATTGGCAATTAGTAAACAAATTTTATATTTATATTTCATAATACCTTTGCATATACTTATTAAAACAAAAACAAAAGAAAATACACCCAAAAATGGATCTCACAAGCTCCGCAAAGCGCAACTCGCAGCGAAATGGGCCGTCACAAAGGCGTTCGGTAAGCATTGACGACGATGACAACGCGAGCAACAATTCGCTGAGCTCCTTCAACATCTTGCTTGCGGCCGCCTCCGACACCGAATCACAGTCACCAGTCAGCGTGCGTGACATGATTAAACGTTATGACACTGTCGCCAAATTGGGCACCAAAGGTGGCGTACGCGGCCTGCAACAGCAGCAATACAGTTTGCCAGCCATGAAGTCGGCTTATTTCGGTGTGAATAAATTTGGTACGCACACATCGGCCCACCGTTACTCAACGCGTCATTATGCGACACAAAGACCGGAAGAGGACAAAGGCAGACAATCGATGCAAACAAATCACAATAATGACAATCGCCGCAATAAAAACAAAAGCAACAGTAAACTAAATGAAAACGGTGATTTTGAAAAAAAGGAGAGAGCCGTTGAGATGGAGGAGGATTCCTGTTTGGTGCGATCACGTCACATCTCTTTGAGTGAGGGTGAAAATGTTTATGTTGCCGATCACACCAGGCGCACCTCAAGGTGAGAGACAACAATTGAAGTCAAGTGGAAATTGAGCGTATTTTTCTCAACTTTTATATTTTATGAAAAAAAGCTCGCCAGCTAGGTCTTTGCCTGAAGTGTCGCGCAGTTTTCAAGAAACGAATTGTTCGGAAGCCACTGATGTCGTCGAGGAGGCGAATTTGCAACCAATGGAGACTTCGTATCAAAGTAAAACGACCATTGCCAAGACTGCAGCTGGTAAGTTTGTCTAATCAAAGAAAATATTGCATTGTTTTTTGTTAAAGAAATTTTCTGAAATCCGAAACTGTATTCTTTCTCATGCTCGCTAGTTTCAAAAAATAGGGGTTTTTGAAAATCAATCTGGCATCCCTTGTGTTTGCGTGGCATTTTGAGGTTAATGTGTGGCTGTCCGTACCTTACTTCTCAAACTCTTCTTGCAATTTAATAATATTTATAATATATATACTCGTATGTATAAGAGGCTTTGTTCTGAATGACTCATCGTGGCTACCTGAAACACCCTCCAAGTTTTCTGCCCATGATGTATGTAACCCAAAGTTAGGATTTTCTCAGAAGTGTAACCGGAACCGATCTATTCGAAAACTTCCAACCTATTTTTAAGTATTTTATTTTCATAAAATTTGGTGCGGACTTAGCTTTGGGCCTATATTAATATGGTTAATACTTTTTCTTCCGGGAAGTGAGCTTGGGGTTGATCTATTCGTTAAACTCATGTTTATGGTTCAGTTTACAGGAAATATGGTACACTGGTATCTTTTTGACTGAAATTAACGTAGGAAACCATATATTGTTACGGAAAGTAGGCCTGGAATCGATTCCAAATGGTACCGTTTTGCTATATATATATGGAACATACTGGATGCCTCTTGGCTTATGGCAATGCATGGAGAAGATTTGTGTCGGATCCAAGATATCCGAAGGGAGTTCGATTTGCTTAAAATTTGACTCATAGAAAGAAAGCTCTTTGCCTAAGCTTTATGAGGAAAACTTCTATTTCTTGTTCATTTCTATTAACGTTATAGCTTTTAAATTATTAAAAAAAAGTAATGTAAAAACCGAATAAGAATTTTATTAGAAGTACATACAGGGAGCGCCACCATCTGTTGCCACGGCTTTGGAAACTTGAATAGTTCCCCGATTTTTTGAAAAGTTGACATAGGCAGCAGCTTGTTCGCCGCGTTATTTCAGTCTAAATGTGCCATGAATCAATTAACACCGATACAACCAGCAGAAAGCATGCTCCACGGTAAAGATGAGTTTTGTTTTTGAGCGATGAAGCTCATTTTAGATTGAATGGCGCGATTAATAAGCAAAGCTGCCGCTTTTGGGCCGGCGGAAATACTTGTGAGATATTCCAGGAGCAACACCAAGATCAAAAAGTGACCGTTGGTGTGGCTAGAAACCGAGGCTAGCAAAGCAATGCTGAGTGATTTTGTGTTTCCAGAAATGATTGGAAATCACATGGCCCCCTTCTGGGTTGAACAGAACGGAGCCACAGCATACACTAGCAGCGATACAATGACGCCACTCCGCACGATGCTCAACTGATGTATCATAGCAGCAAATGGCGATTTGAAGCCGCCGGGCTTTCTTTTATGGAGGGTATTTGAAGAGAAAAATTCACACCAACAAGCCGTGGATCATAGCTCACTTCAAAGTTAATATGCGCCTGCAGATATCGCTTATTACCACCGAGACGCTGGAAAATGTGATGCAAAATGCACCGAAAAAGCATTATTTTTGCATCAACAACAACAACATCAAAACATGATGTAAATAAAATAGAAAGCAATCAAAAAAAATGTATGTGAAAATAATAAAAAAAAAAGTTATTATAATCAAAAGTTAAACAAGTTTTAAATGATATCGCAGCTGCTCTGTATGTAACCACTGAAACGTTTTTTGACCGAGCTCCTCCTTCAATTTGTAGTGCGCATTTTGAAGTTTCTCCCACCCTAATGGGCAAAATTATAGTTTATTTCACGCCACCTCTAAGCGACGACTGGATTATGAGGGATTTTTTATGAGGTATTTTTTATGAGGTGAGGTATGTCAGAAAAGCAAGCGGAGCTCTTGAAATGCCCTGCCGAGGGGCGGCCGAAATTAGAAAAATTAATTTCCCCTAATTTTGAATATTGGCGGCTAGTGCAAGCGTCAATTAAATACCATATTGTCTTAGTACATATTATATATTGTGGCATTTAAAACTCATGTACAATTTCCCAAAATTCTCTCTTCAGGTGTACGAATCATAATCGACATCTTCTTCGATCAAGAACACCAGCCATTGTCGCCTACGGATGTTGTGGGCAGTCGTGTCGAGACAGATATACCTCAAAGCCGTATACTCAGCGAGTTTCAGCAACAAACGGCAAATTCTCAACTAAACTAATGCAAAACTATAAGGAAAGAGAAATTTGTAAAGGTGAAGTGAGCTCCGGAAGGCAATGTCTTATCACGATGGTTGTTAGACACAAACTCATTGCATACACGTTTGGATTGGTTGGACTGTTGTCATACATATGTATGTGCATACATATTTTAAATCATCAGAGATTTTATTTTTTGAATTTCACTCTGAATTTATTGTATTTCCTAACAAGTTTTTAATTAATTGCTTTATTAAATACACCGAACCTGACTATTTTGCATTTTTTGCAAATAATTCTTTCGATGACATACATAAATAAAAAAAAATAAATAAATAAAAAATTGCAAAACCGAGCTATTAAATTTACTAAAATCACATTAATTTATGAAAATTGAAGACCATAAACTAAAAAAAAATTGTTTGATTTTCGAAGAAAATTTCAAACACCAATCAATCGAAACTAGTTTATCGGCACGATTTAATAACTTTTTATGAGAGCAGCATAATCAGCAAAACTCTTGCGAAAGCCAATACTTAACAGCAGCAGCAGCAGAAGAGCGTGCTTGGCGTGGTTGGTGTTTGGTGATTGCTGGCTACCGCTCAGTCACTCTGCCATTCTATTGTTTGTTGCATTAGCAGTATATGCTGTGGAGTGCCGAAACCATTGCCTTAGCACGCGTAGTTATGAGTTGTTAATGGTATTGACCTAACACGCCCTCGCATGACCAGTGCTCACCTTTGCTGCTATTAGGCTTACATATGTACACGTACACCGTTCTCAACTCAGAGTATTAGCGCCAACGAGCTTTCGCATTTCAGCCGGTGTGTACACATAGTTGGGTTAAAAAATATGCTTTTTTTTTGGCTTTTTTATTTTTATTTTCGCTGGCAACACTTTTCACTTTCCCGTATGAATTTTAAAGCGACACTTCGTGACATCGCGGCCCAGTGACTCAGTGTTGCATGCACCTTCATATATTTCACCACCTTTACATATGTGCTCCTCTTTTCCTGGTTGACGTAAATGCGCCTGATCGTGATGCGGACTTGATTTGGTGTTGTGTTTGTATTTTCTATTTTACATTGTATAAAAACCTAATTGGGAAACACTTTGCTTTGGGATAGCACAAGTTAACACTGGAATTGTATATCTCTTTACATACAAACACATATGTATATACTCGTATTATAGCTCCCGAAATAACCGAGCAGCGCAGTTGAACGAGTAGAAAGGAGTTCTAAAAAAAATGTCAAAATTTTTGCTTAAAATACTTGGAAAAAACTCGAATGGCTCGAGCTCGTGCGGAGAGTAATGAACGAGTGCGCGAGAATTCGTTGCTCAAATGTTCATGTTGCTCGAAAGTGTTCGTACAAAATCTTGAATTCCAGTATATATAATATATTTTTTACTTATTTCCGATTTTCGGCTTGATCCTTTCCCAACAAATGAAGGGATCTGCAGTGTATACTAAGTCGTCTCCGAACAGCTAATGGTTTTTTATGAGGAACCTTTTTTTCATGTCAGAAATACACTTGGAAGAGTTGACATTCCCTGTCGAGGGGTGACGGCAGTCAAAAAATTTAACTTAATTTTTTATTTAAATTTATTTTCTATAACTTTTGGATGCTGGTCTAACCAGGATATGAACCCTCGCCTACCGAATGGCCGAACGCAATGCCAACCACTCTGCTCCCGCTGCCACCAATGTACTTAATGTATGTCCTATGATAAAAAATTACACTTTCCCATTATCCTGCTCATCTGCCTGTACATTGAAGAGCAAGTAAAAAAGAGCTGAGTTCAGTCGTAGACTTTATACTCTTCATGATCATTTAATATGGTATGCTATTATTTCATTTTAGGATTAAGTATTATTAATTATATCTGAACAAATCGGTTATATGGCACATAATATCTCAAAACTGTGGGAAATTCCATACCACTTCCACTCCAGCTCTCTGAGAATGCTCACCAGCTACTCGGTGTAAGGGAACTGTGAAACGGAATTTCAAGCTTTCTTCGTACAGCTGCATATAAAAACTAATGGTTTTGGGAAAGTATGAAAATAACAGCTGGTATGAAGAGGATTTCCGAGCCGCAGGAGAAAGAAAACGGGCTGCTTACCTTGCAACGTTGCGATCGACCCCTACACGTGCGAATACATACCGAGATATTAATGATGCCAACAAAACGTTTCTTCGGACAAAAAAGAAAGAGACCGACGCGCGTTAGAGAAGGTTTCAAAAGTGGAGCAAATTCATGTATGACTCGGAATGGTGATCTATTTACTCATGCCCAGAGTATACTGAATTTATGAAGAGAACATATCTCAAGTCTGCTGAATGGTGGCAAAGTTGAAACAGCATTTGCTCGCTTAAAGAACAACAAAGCGGCTGGATTCGATAAAGTTTACAGCTGAAAGGTATATGCACCAGCTTCTTTGCAGAACTTGGTTGGACGAAAGTACGCCCGATGATTGGAATTCAAGTGTGCTCTGCCTGATGCACAAAAAACTGCGCCTTTTACAGTGAGATAAAAATCCTCAATATCGAGAGGCTAACTGAAAAGTAAAGTTCTTTATCGACGAGCCGAAGCCAAACTCTGCAAGTCACTCACCATTCACGTCCTGCTGTATGACAACATTTGATGATTCGCTGTTAGGACTTTTCGAAAGAAAGGTCTTGAGTGAGATTTACGGCTCTCTATGTGTTGGGAACGGCGAATACCGTAGCCGATGGTATCGATAAAGTTCACTAAATCAAGAGATGGCTATGGTGGCCACGATTGATAATAATTACGCCAGATTTGAAAGCTTTCGAAGCAGAGGAAGAGGAGGACCTCTATTCTGTTGGAAAGGTAGGGTAGGGATCGACCTGGCTGTGCTTGGTGTTTCCAATTGGCCGCAAACACCGAAAAGAAGGAATGAATGGCGAGCTGCTGATAACTCGGCTATAATCTCGTAAGCGTTGTCTACGCCGGTAAACAAGAAGAAGAAGAAAAAACTAAAAAAAGAAGGATAAGAAGAAGAGGTTTGCGTAGAAAGAGTGACAGACGTGCATGGCTAAGTCAAGTCCACTCTTTGATTATATCGATATAAATTTTGTCTGATCTTCTTCTCTTTTGTGCTTCTGGTAAACAAATACCCAGTGTATTAATAATGTACAAAAAGCAGAAGTCAACTAATTCACGTGCCGTGACACGACAGCGGCATCGTATACTCAGCCATTCACATTTACGTACAGACATACGTGCACGCAGCTTCTGTTGACCCATATTCGGTTGATGGAATGAAAAAAAGAAAAATCATCTTACCATTGATTTGCCACGACACATTTCTAATCACTCACTTCGTTTTCCTTCGAGACTCATAAATCTTTCGCCCATTGCGAAACGCTAACTGCAATCGCTCGTACGATCAGTAAGGCCGAAGCGTGGGCAAGTAATTCATTATCGGAGCGCCGGCAAATTGATTTAAATTATATATTTAGCAGCAGCTATTTAAGCGAGTAATTTATGGTTGAGGCAAATGTGTATTTGAAGAGCTTTGAAGAGCACGAGTTTCGGTTCGATTTTGCCCAATTCTTTTCCAATTCCCAGTAGCAAATATTTGAAGTTGTATGTACAAAGCACATACATATGCACACATGTCTGTATGAATGTGTGCATATTTTTATGCTTTTGTTTGTTTTGTTTTTTTCCTTGGTTATTTGCATAATTTCTGATGCTTTGTGTGTATACACAATGAAATTTCTTAGTGAATTTGTGGATGGTTGGAGAGGAGGAGTAAGAGCAGAAGAAGAAGAGGAAGTGTAACTAAAGTCTGACTTGTTTTAAGATCTTTTTCTTTTTGATTATTTTTTTTGGAAACAAACAACTTAATGAGCTGCACACAAATTAACGCAATTGTATTTTTGGTTGTTGCTTTTGTTGTTACTATTGTATTTGCTTTTATCATTTGACATGCCAAAATGAAATACAAACCAACTGAGAACCGTAACGAAATGTGAAGCAAACAAACTGCCCAACATGACACGAATGTAACAACAAGTAGTATTCAAAAAAAAGGAAAAAAAAACACTTAAAGCAAAAAATAGTCATAACAATATTTGTTTCATTGTTGCAATTGGATAAACGTTGAAAGAAATACCCACAATGCAACACTCAGCGCGCTCGGCCACCACCCTCGTTTCGCCTTGTTACTTGATGTGCCGCAGAAAATTTGATTGGACCACATCTTTCGTTTAGTCACTCCACTGCCACTTCTTTTGACCTGCTTTAAATACTCACGAAACTAATTTAATGCATCACCAACATTTCGTTGTCTCTATCATTGCGTTGGTGTGTGTGTGTGTTTGTGTAATGGCAGCAGCAGTAACAGCAGTGTACAGCCGTCAGTCGAAGCCATCAAAATCCAACAGCTGCTGCTTTGCGCCGACTGCCATTTGAGATGCTACAGTCGGTGGCAGTAGGGACTGAGGTCGATGCCAGCGATTGCAATAGATTTGTAACTGGCAGCGATGTGATACACACTGATGATGTTCCCTTTTAGTGGCGCTTGTTTCTTTTTTCCTCCGCCTTCAGTCCGCCGCCACTGCTGTGATGCTGTGTAGTGCGTTTGCGCAACGAAAGCACCGTTGTCAATGTACTCGCACACAGTGGGCCAACGGCATGAGAAAAAACGTTCGATTTGTTTCGACTAATACTTACTTACGTACTTATATGTATATTGGTGTAGTCAAATGAAATCCATTATTTATGCAAGAAATTGAAAGGTTTAATTTTTTCTTTTCATTTCCAGCCCCTTTTAAATGATTTCAAACGCTTTCAGGCAATCGAAACCCTGCTTACATGGCGGCCGGACTCCACAATATACATGATTTTATCGACATTTTCCACAATCCAATCATAAAACTTGTAGAAGAGCTTTTTTAGTACGAAAGATCATCTTTATAACGCCATCTAGAGGAATCCGATCGGACTTATACAACGCGAAAAATAATGGATTTCCTTTTACTGCGCCTAATATA